GCACAAAGTGGACTAGATAAAGTAAATTACCAAACACAAGCAAATATCTTTCCTCTTTTATCAAGATTTAATGGTTATTGCCACTTTTCCACCTTATAGGGTGTGTAAGGGATTGCTTTGTATCGGTCGCGAGTGTTATTTGACTACGTATTTCGCATTGCCGTATTGTCATTTCCTCCGGCCCAACTTTCACCTCTACTATTGCAACTATCGAAGGGTCGCTTGCCCTATGTTCTGGTAACACTTTGAGATCTGTATACAAGAAACCGCCTACCTCACCTTTTTTGTACGAACCTCCTAAAATTACCAAAAAATCTGCAAGAGCATATTCGTGTCCATTGAAACTTCAGCCTAACGGAATGATGGATGAGAAATTTACAAAGTGTAAATTCGTCGCCAAATTGCCTAATTAAACCTTTTTGTCAAACTTTGGTGAGAACTGAAGCAAAACTAGATATTTGATATGGAATACTGCTGGAAAATACTTAATGGATAGGCAGTTATGTGTCAATTTATGGCAATATGTCTGAGCTGGTCAACGAGGGTGATTGGTTGAACAGAGAGGCATATTTGGAAATGCATTTGGTTTTTAAAGTGCAGTTGGGATTTTTACCGCCACACTAAACATCCGCTGTCTTACGAAATAATTCTTGCATAAGCACATGAATTAATAGTTTTTTTAGGTTCAATTCATCTACCCTTCTTAAATAAGGCACAAGTATACCAATTCCACCCCTGAACTGCGGTTTGTCTGCAGAAGTCAATAGGGTAATCCTACTTTTGGCCATCGTTCGTTCCTGCCTCACTTCTGTTCCCCAATTGTCTCTTTTATACAACTATTTGGCCTGTAAAAAGTGAAAGGGCAGTCCTAAGAAGAGGTGAAAATCACATGGAGAAATATCAGTAGGGGATATGGATGAAGTGGTATCTCCCCAACCTTCTTCCCTTCCACTAAGAAGTGTTAGTCTCATTACAAGTGTGATGTGCAGCATAAGATAAGGCATTGAGGTGTTTGCTCTTGCAAGAATTCAACATTCTTTCCACTGATTAATTAGCACTAGATGTCTTTTAAGGAATCCAGAAAACAAAACACTCCACTGTCACAAAAAATGAGGGCCTGGTTTTTCTGGAACGAAGTAGTGTGCGCCTCAGAGATGTGGACTGTGCAGTGAGTGGAGCCTGTGGGATACCAAAAGTAAAAAGGTCACTTCTCACTAATTCAGCCGGAAACCTATTAATGACCAAACAGTGCATCCTTTGCTTAGCTTTCGCGAAAATTGGGAGGAGTAAATGGGCAATCTTTGGAGCTCAGGGCCACTTCCTTTGCTTAGCTTCCACCAAGGCTTTACCAGTTAGTGTTTTCTAGCACACTGAAAATTGTTAGTAGTTGTTCTCCACACTTTGATCTAAAATTATTTTTTTTATTCTTCACAAATTACAGCATGTCTTCATCCAGCGAGATACGCCAATAACAAATGAAAATTTTCAGTCATCTGTTAGACTCGGTTGATGGGATTACAACCCATTTAGTTCCATCTATCATCCAGATAAAATGATGATGCGTTGGTGGCTATGCTAAGCTGTCATCATCACACAATTTCATAAGTAAACTTGCCGAACACTTGGAATGGCTCATTTTTTCCATGGGGTAGTGGTTCTAATTGCAAATACATTTTCAGTTTCCTTGGTAGGAACCCGAGAGATAATGGTGCTTCCAATATGAACAGTTCGACAAATAAATTGCGGATTTTTAAAGACAATTTTGTTAAATGAAGGGACAGATCTTGTAGTGGAATGGTGTTTAGTTTAACTGGGTAGTCAAATACATGGGCATCTCTGCGGTATGGCCTTCAGACCGGGCTAGTGGACTCGCAGCTCTTTCGTACGCTGGTAGGTAATGTGCTCCTCCATACTGCGTGGACCCATTACCACTTCAGTGGAGATTCTGGAAGCCACATTTCCAAAGGGTATGTGCCTCATTTAAGTGAACAAATATGCAAAAGTTTGGAAAATTTTGGATTGCCATTAATTGTATGAGAAAACAAATAAGCCAACACAGAAATGTGTTAGACCCAAATTATGTTGCTTAACACGACGGCTACTGATGTCACCAACGTAATTTATTCTTTATCATAAAATCACGTCTCTAAGGTATTGCTTGAGTTCAAGACAATAAAATCGGTTTAGGATGTTCCTGACCTGAAGGAAATTACTTCTTCCCTCCCGCTTTTAACATATTAAAATAATGAAAAAATTCCAGCCGCATTTGGGGTTTTTCCCTGAAATCATAACTGCTAGCGTGGTAACTGGTAGGTAATGTTTCTATAAGATTTGCCCACACTAACTCTGCAGTGGCCTCTTCAAAAGCGATACACCGGCTTATCCTGCAGTACAGCACCAATGACAATCATGACTTGTAAAGGCACTGTCACCTAGTCATAGGTTTTGACAGCCAAGTGCTTAGCTCAAGCCATCTAGATATAGGCTATGATGACTTTCAGAAATTTCTCCTTTAATCCCAAATTAAAATAAGAAGGGTCCATAATTGACCAATGAAATGCACTTGAGTCCATCTTCAATTTGAAGCTGAATGCTTTAGACAGTCGGCTGTGGAGAACACTCAACTTAGGATAATGAGTTAGAAAGAGGAAAAGTTAAATTTATTTCCACTTTAAATAGATAACCAGGCATTGTTTGCGTATACGACAATTTCATCCTTTCGATAGTCCAATTAGACGCACTGAAAAGCATAATGTTTCACGTGGATAAATTCATTCAAACAAATTTTATTTACTGGTCTTAAATCGGCAGCAAAAATGCCAAAAGTACAGCGGCTAAGTTAATTGACCTTCAGCTTTCACATACTTCAAAGGTGGGTTAACTGATGGACGTTTGAGGCCTTACAATAAATAAAACTCTGCGTTTGAAAATGAATATGGTGTTGCGCCATGTGCTTTGCTCCCATAAAGTTGAACCACTGGGCAAGCTCAACTGCTCGAAATATCTGCAAACTCAGAAAGCCACGCATTTCTTTTGTGGTTCGTCTGAAACATTCCAGAACATCGCAATACACCTCTTCTTGTTTGGTTGTTTAATAGATAGACTTTAAATGTGATAGTAACGATAATGAGACCACGGCCAACCAAGATCCTCTAAGTACCCAAGAGTGGGACCACCCCGTGTCGACAGTAGTTATGTGGACGCGCTCAGTGACTTTGTTTAGTTGTACAAGTCAACAACAAGGACATCAGTCGTTTGCAGTTCAACCTACGATGACTCGAAACTTGAAGGAATTTGCAAAACATATGCAATCGTTTGTATGGGTGCATTACAAAGCACATAGGGATGCACGCCAGAGTAGCAGTACGGTGGCCTTTTCTTGTGCTCCCTTCTACTCTTGCCATTTTAACCTTTAATTTCGCCTTGTTCATCCACGAGAAGGTCTATGAAATCAGATTGGCAGAGAAGTAGTTTCGCATCCTTATCCCCATCCCCTAATGACAATATTTCCCCAAGTAATTACTACCCTCTCTAGGCCTTAGCGGCAGAATATCACGCGGCAAGTTGATGTGCAAAATAGACTGAACATTTGGGAAATTGAGGTGGGGGAGTAGCGTAGGCAACGCTGTGCCTCCATGTGATGCACAGCAGACTCAATGGTTCATTGAATTTTTCACTGAAGGTCCAAAAATTTTGTACGACTAAACAACTAAGAATTACTTGATTTAACTCCAGTTAAAACAATTCAAGGGTGTGTAAAAAGTGCCTCTTCTTCTTTTTAGTACTCTTTTTTTTAAAATGAGGTAAGACTAGTCAAGGAGTAAAAAAATAGCCATGCTCTTAAAACACAAGACGACCCGAGACCCCATACCGAAACACCAACCCGTGATGGGATACGCACTCCAAGATGAGAGGAGGAGCGACATTACCACATCTGCGTCCTTGATATTTCCCTCCTGCTATTTCTGCAAGCGAGCATCAAGCTTTCTTGACATCGCAATAGAAAAGGCGACTGGAATGAAGGCGGGATAGAAGAGAAGCACTCCCACATGCTTTCGTAGCCTATCGAGATTTTTATGCCTCGTCGGAGGAGATTTGCCGATCTCAGTATTTATTCCACTTGCTTAAATTCTATTTGAAAGAAGTAATTAAGCTTATTGCCTTATGCTACTCAATTGGATCAGTAGGAGTGATTACAGACGACAAATCAGCAGTAAAGGAACCTCTTAGAAAGGCATGCGGAACCAGGCCCAAGAAGGGCAAAATTAGTTAATTTTTAATCCTCGAAAATTCAATCAAGGACAGCTGAGTCCCACATAAACAATTTCTGGCTTTAAACTTATCTACCACTTAAATTAATCAGCAGATTCGAAAGAGAACCAAAATCAAACAGGAGTGTTCATTAAAATCTTCTAAAATAATACGTTAACAAACATCAGTCGGAGGCAAAATTGGAACATGTGAAGGCAACTGAAGGAGCAGCCGTACTGCTCATTCAGTCGGCGTTCGCTCGTAAAAACGGCGATGCATCTCGTCGACGTGAGTCAAATAGTAGGTGCCCGGAAAAAAGCGCTTTTCGAGATCTTCTGTTGGATAATTAAGCGGCGCTGAAGGGAAGATGAAAATTACACATAGCTTTTGGCATTCTGCTGATAAATTTAAGCAGATTGGTTTCTGGTAGAATTTCCCTATGAAAGGTGATTGGCACTCAGAACGAGTACTCGACAAGTGAATACTTCCCAAACTAATTGATCCAAAATCAAAGATGTTTTTGCATCAATGCCAACTTATCCCATCTTCCCGAGATTCGCCTCTTAGACAACTTTGATAAAAACACAGCAAAGTGATAGTAGATGCTGCCATTCCGTCACCAAGCTGGCACTGTTTTGTCCTATGCTAACGGTCACCAATAACAAGTTCATTTTAAGACAAGCATGTCTTATTACGTCTTTAAAGACGACCCGGCCTCTACATTATTTGCAGCTGGAGGCAAACCCATCCTGATTTTGTTGGCAGAATACTAGGCTTAGGTACCACGGAGTGCACCGGTCGGGGATGGCCGAACTAAGGAGGAGATGCAGCGATATCACCCCGAAATAATTTTACACGTCTTCATCAGAGATCACCCGACCACCACAACATTAACCCGCTAGGATGGCAAGGGAGAGAGACGTACCCTTGTCAACAGCTGCCTCACGAGCCTCAAGACCATCGCTGAAGCTCGCGTATGTGATGGGCGTGCGCTGCGCCAATCGATCGAAGGGGGAGTGCGAGGAGGCGCCAAAGATGGCCTCAACGTCAGCTGTTTCGGAGATCCGCAGGCTGAACATCGATGAAGTGTAGCCGGAACCGTAGGAGAACATCAGCACACGCCGACCACGCAAGTTGACCTCCGGCACTCTGTTTGATAGGAAATTAAGGGAGCCACTATTAATGATACTCAAGTCTGCACATAAGCAGAGGCACGCTTATGCATATCAGGCCTACTACCAGTAGATGCGACGGAATTTAATCGGCATCAAAACTCAAAGACAGTTGAGTAGAGCCAAATCCGGGCGCACGCACCAATGCTACCACGCAAGGAATAAGCAGATGAAGTGAAAAGATGGCAATTCTCCGGAATTGAAGTGATGTCCATACTCATACCTGATTATGAATAGAAGTACCTCTTGGTACGTGCAGGGACTACCATTACTACTTATTAGAAATCGAGGTGTCAATGATACCCACATGAGATCATTAGCAGGGGTAAATCCGGACGCATGTACTACTGCTACCTAACAAATGATTGAAGAAAGGATAGTCTTTTTTAACTGAGACGGGTACCACTGCTGAGAGTTGGCAGGAACAAGTTCGAGAGGTAAAACAGAGAAGTTAGTATGAGAGGAGACAGGTAACTGAAGAGATTAGGCGAGACTTAACCACAGCAGATATGATCTCTGTCAATCTTGGCAAACACTTCTGTGGTTTCCCTACTGCTTAAGCCGAGAAAGCGGTTAAGCAGGGAATCACTAAATGCTGAAAATTCAGAGTAGATTGAGAATAAAGCCACCAAAAAAGTAAAATCAGTAGCCGATTCTAAATAGGTAAAGGCGTTAGGAAGAGGAAGCGGAGAAAAGTGAAGAACAGATACTTAAGGGGGAAATAAGGATAAACTTACGAGCACGCGAGAGAAATGAGACAGGCATAGAGCGAGGCGGTATACATGTTGCCCACCTCACTAGTGATGCGCAGGCCAGGAGCAACCTTGAGGTCGAATAGGGCGCGCGAAGCGGACAAACAGGCTTCGTCCACCGTTCGCGATATCTGCGTGCTGTAAGAATGGGAAAAGACGTGATTAATGAAAATCCTACAGATAACTGGGAATGAGTTATCCATATGCATGTCATCGAGTGTATTCAATAGGAAGATAGAGGTGATAGAACCTAGCGCTGCTGAACAGAAAAATAAGTAGATAATAGGGATATTTCAGACGGTTCTTTTTATAAAAAAGTCGTAACAAGGCGTCATTTCTACTGACTTCCCGGTTATTCCATCATGCAAAGTTAATAGCTTTCTTCTAATGTAACCAGTCATCTACTTTTGTTAACCAAACATTCTTCCTACTAACTCCTCCAAGCATACAAGCTATTAAAGTCAAAACAATCGGACCTGAATATAAACAACACAGCTAAGGGACGCTAACAATGACGCAAATGCAAATGCTAAATAGGTAGGAAGTCACACCAGGCCACAAAAAAAACCCGGACGTAACCGCGAAAGGAAGCGTGAAAACACAAACCTATCAGCCTCGTTGGCAAGTGGAGCTAGCTCACGGACCAGCGCACTTTCGTCCGTTGCTCCAGCGTTGTGGAACTCGCTGGCGCTGTTGTTTACGCCCGCCTTAGTCGTTGGCGCCGCTGTCGGTGCCTCCGTTGCAACCCGTCCTGTCGTCACTGCAGTCTTGACGTCCTGCAACACCATCCAACCGAAGGACTTGGCAACCAAACGATAGAAAGGAGAGTGAAAGCACACAAAGTCGATGGGAAATTCGCATTTGCTCCGATCGCCGATCACTCGGACCTTGCGACCTATGGGGGAGGGCTTAGTAAAAGAAACTGACTTACGTACCAGTGAATTTTTCTACTTTCTCGCGATAGAGGCGGTAGCAAGAGAGCACAGCCTCCTTGTAGCAAGTGATACTCAGCTTTCCATCCACCTCAGGAAAGATGGATTTCATTACGGGCTTGCAAAAATCGTAGCGGTGACGCATTGCACACACACGGAGGCCTAGAGTATGAATAAAGAGCTGGTAGGCAATTTATGAAAATGAGTGTTTATTTAATGAACCGAAAAGTACCACGAAAATTACCAAAATTAACCATGAAAAAATGTCACAAAGGATACACGATTTGATGGAATAATGACTTCATATGCCGGCAAACTTTTTGAATGAAATCAAATGCTTCCACTGCCAAAGACCATAAAATGACCGGATTAAAGTTGTGGGTTGCCAATGATGGGGAATAAACATCTTCTAACTACTGTAACAAAAACCGCAAAACTGATTAGAGAATGCACCTAAATCTATCCAGAAACGCAATTAGGTCTTCGGAAAGCTCGCTGGCACAAGCATTCCTTGTTCCCTTGTTATGACCTTAGGTCAGGGGAACGATGTTATAGACGGAGAAAAGAATCTGTAACCGCCACCATGCGCAATTTTCATATTAAAGCTTGGGTTAGAGGAGGTGACCCCTAGAAAAGCTAGACAGGTTATCCCACTCAAAGCCATGAAGGATCTAGCCTATGATTAGAACCGGTAAAAATAAAACTCATTTGTGCTGGCTGTTATTTTTCAAAAAAACCCAAATTTCGGAAGTATTCAGAATTTAAGAACCCACTAATCATCGGCCATTTGTCTACATCCCACAGATGGAAAAATAATGGTCAGAGATCCCGGCAATCTACCAAAGACTAGACGAATTTTTACTCACTTTGTTATTACGGGAGCTTCCGACTTGGAGCTAAGGCAACACGCCCTTAAATAAAACAGGGTGAGCTGTCTCTCCAAGTGTTTATTTTGCTTCCAAAATCTTCCTTTGAAAACAATAGAAAGGCTAACAGAAAGCACTCACAAGTCCATGAATTTTACGCATATTTTTGTGTAACTAACAAGACACCAAAAAGGAATTATTTGGTAAGAAACAATATCTCACAGCTGTCTAACCAAGAACAGCAATAAATGCGGTTTTGTAAGAAGTTTAAAGTGAGTTTCAATAGCCCGAAACTTGAAAATTTGGGTTAAATTGCAGCTTAAAAAGCACGGTTTATCTAAACGAGGTAAAGTTAAAGAACGAGTCTTCCGGCAGCGAATTAGAAGAACAGGAATGCTGACGAACCTGAATCGACAACAAGGGGAGCATTGGGTCCCAAAAGAATGGCGACAGCACCAGCACCACCGGTTGGTTGGGTTGCGGCAGTCAAGTACGTCGCGATGTCCGCTGCCACTACCAGAGCCAATCGGCCTGTGAAAATAGAAGAAAACGGCCTTTATGTTACCCATGGAAACTTTTGCACAGTATCAGTGACCAATAAAACTTGGCCAGATACCACAACACCGATTTTAGCCCAAATTTAAAGAACTATAAGAAATGATATCAGTGTGACGAAAAAGGTGGGTAAATAAACTGACCATCGCATGAAGAGGACTCAAGCCAATTAATGGCATTAAAGAGAGCGGCAGTGCCACCGTAGCAAGCACTTTTGACGTCAATTCCAGCCAAATCGAAGTTTCCAGACTCCTCGAATAACACCATAAGGTGGCTTTTGATTGATTTCGACTTATCCACTAGGGTTTCTGATCCAACCTTTGAGGGACGAAACACGGATCGCAAACAATAACAGATGGTGTCGCTACATTAGTGTTACCTTTGAGAATAAATCGGTGAGGGCTATAATAACACAAATCAAGCCATCAACAAAAAATGATAGTGGGCTCCAATCACCGCTCTTAATGCCTTTCCTCATAAGCGTCTGTAGAGTAGAAACTCAAATTTACAAAGTCCAAAAAGTGGCGAGGTGAGATAGTAATTCAGTAATGTTTATAAAGCGTTAAAAACCACAACATACGAGATAAAGCACACGATATAAAATACCACATCAATATGGATCCCACAAACAGTGAAAATAAAAAATCCCTCTGTGCCGCACACAAAGAATCCAAAGGGAAATAACATTCGAATGAATCATGTATAAATCAAGAAGAATGATCGACTCAAAGTGATAAAAGTCGTTAATAAGTTCCAGCGTCTAGGATACGACAACAAGACGAGGTCCGAAAAAAAAACATAAAATTCACCTCTAGAAAGCCAACTTTTGTCAAATCAAGCTCAATGCGCTCAATTAAGCGCTTAGTGACAGTAAGAGAAAGAGAAACGACATCCTCAGCTTCATCACAAATAGCCATTGACATCTGGCCAAGACCTTTGGTGTATTTCTCAGGAAAACCATAATGTTCCTCAATGGCGGTTTGTGGAATGTATGTCCTCGGAAAATAAACCTCCGCAGCTAGAATTCCTATATCCTTCTGCATCTTGCGACGACACGTGCAACAGAAGTACTCAGCAGGCAGAATAAGTCACTTATGTAGGTCCAAGGTAATTCGAGGTCATCTCAGCAAAATTTGAATTTGCCGGAAAGTAGATAAATCCTAGTGGGTAAGCAAATACATTGCATTTTTTCCATTATTGTAATTTAAACTTTTGAAAGAATAAGCACCTTCTATTGGAGCATGAAGTGATGCGAATGCATGTCTCTTTCCTATTGGTTAATGAATTTGCGACCCAGGATTGTGCTTTTTTAACTTATTCGTCCACATTCGCGATGGAATCTGACATGGAGATATCGAAACTTGATATTTCCAAGAACCTTCTGCAGATGAACTTTATGAAACGGACTCTCATTGCACTAGAAAGGCTTAAAAAGCCAGATAAAAGAGAGGAACTGCCCTCTGTGGCAGATTTCCAGTTCTCAATGCCACGATCCGTTGTAGACGTCCTAAGTCAGCGGCTAGAAGCTATATCGAGGCGGTTGGTAGTCCATATTTCTATCTTTTAATTTGTTGGTGTTGCTGGACTTTTTCCTCCCTGAGTTATCGTTTTAAGCCATCCCTTTGGCTTTTCTGGGGGAGGTTTTTTTGTTTTATTCATAGCATTCAAGAGAAGCCTGACAGTGTATTCCACCACCCTTTTTAAGAGAATAGCCCACCGTCTTTTCCTAATTCATAATTTTCACTAAAAATTGAATCTTTTCAAATTGTACACTTAAAATATCTTGGGATGCTGTGCTTAGTTGAATTCGCTGGTCTATTTTCGCTTTGAAATGTGGTTGTTCCAAAAGTTGGGGATATTTGTTTGGAGGTCCGATTGTCCTCGATGGATTCACGAGACATGCGAGTCTGGAAAATGCTCTACTGTTGCAACATATGGTAGGGGTTGGGATCTATGTCACAAGCGTGCATTTGGAGTCTTGTGATATTCAGGGATGCTGTACGACAACCTGCGGAGTTGTAGTAACTGTTGTTTTGTTTTAGTGGAAAAGGGTACACGAATCATCTCCACGGTTAATCATGATACCTTGATCTTTAGTTTTTCATAAATATCTTTCTACTTAAATTACAGACCAGTAGTGCGCCACGTGCCAGGCCGCATCGGTGTTGCAAATTTCGGATTGCGTGCCAGTTACGGCGGTTTCAATTCTTACCTCTCCGAAAAATCAAATTCTAATTCGACAGCTCTAGTAAAAGAAGGAGAGGAGAAAAAGAAAGGAAAAAACGTCGGAACCCGGAGAAGACCTTCTGACCACCGTTCCCCCTCCAACCGCAAGAGAAAGTCCCATGGTAAGTCGCGTCAGTACCGGTCCAATCACTGCATGTTTCTCTTTGCAGCTGAGTACTCCCCTGCACCGGCTAAGAGAACTAATAGGAAACACTCGCCATGAACTTGTCTTTCTTATTTGTGTATTAGCACAGCTGCTCGTCAGTGCTGGTTACGCTCAAATCAGTTTGCCCATATTTGAGCACCTCAGAGTGCCACTTTGTCTCTGTATGAGACTTATGACCCACTGCTTTTCGTAACAATAAAAGGCCTCCATCACGTTTTACAGAATTCAGGCGATGAGCCTTTATCAACCGTGGTGACACGCGACCGCTCCCCATAAATAATCACATTTTGCTGTGGGGTCTAAGACTGCAAAGTAGGAGGCATCTGTTGAAATCGTTTGCACCACCGTTAGTTGCTGCACGTAATTCACATCCCCACGTGCCATTACAAGGCAGCTAGTACAGGGTTTTCGCGTACCTCACTCCTGTGGCAAACAAATTAGCGCGACACAGAGATTGTTGCTTGCATAATGACCCCGCACATTTTTAACGCAGGTACCAGCCCATTTACGCAGAAGTCCATCTAGTGATTCTTCGGTTATCATTAGGGTACCCAAACGTAGAGTCTACTAATAGTTTTTAGATCTACTAACGCTACTGCCATAAGTCATGCTTTGAGAACCAAATACAAGCAGGTTCGATGGCTTGTCAGGTCATTATGTAAATCGAAACGAATACAAAAGGACTAACAAGATGGAAGTATAACTCATAAGTTAAAAAAAGAAGCAGATCAAGATGTCACTAAATAAATGTTGAGTAAGTCGCTGATGGTTACGATGTTAATAGTTACGACGATGCGGAAGGCAATATCCGCGAGGTTACGCCGAAACGTTGACTGGAGCAAAAGAGTTTTCTGAGTCTTTAACTCGCACCGTCTGAGCAACTGGAATTAGGAACTGAAACAAAGAAATCCAGATAAAATGAGCACGGTGCAAGACCCCATCGCTATCCAATAGTATGATTTTGTACGTCCATAGAACAGCGCAAAACCTAGACAATATGGCAGTGTGGAAGCATTAAATTGCGCCAATTTCCGGATTCTTTGTCAAAGAAGTGGTTCAGGCAAGCTATTTACTAACATGGAGGTACGGTATCCAGTTCCGATCATAAAATTTGCGACTAACAGTCAAAAGACACCCTCCCACGTACAACAGCATGAGTCATGTGGTGCTATAAAGATGGGTAAGAGAATGGGCCCGATGGTGATTGCATATGTTCATTGAAAATCTCACGATAGGCGGTCATACGTGTGAGTCGCGGTTAAGCTGTCAAAAGAGGGTAAGCGAAATTCATTTCCATCATAAAAGTGGATTGGAAGATGAACTAGGAAGCACAAGATTACCTACGAGATTTATTGACCACATGTTTAACGGGCAGTGATCAAGCTGCGTGTAACTCGAATTAGGTGCAGAGCTTTTCCATGGAAAGCATTTTAAAGAGCAACGTAGGATACCCCATTGTGTTTTGACAAGGTGGACTAGTTACAGCCACTCCCATGTTGCAACTGAGTGATCAAATTAGAGCTAATGCGGTGCATAGGCGATGCTGTTATTGCGATGGTTACTAGAGCGTTTAGCGGTATCGTGATGATATCCACTGGACCTTACAAGCACTTTTCAGCCCCCAGTGGTTTGTATTGTAAAACAACAACAAGGAACTGCACACGCATTACCTTCTGCATCCTTATGATAAAGTTGCTTCCATACCTGTATACTTCGTCATGTCTTGGTGAAAACCGGCTCTATATTCGGCCATGAAAATACTTTTGCACTGTTTTATGCGGAATTAAATTCATAGACCTCGTTATAGTATCTTGGATCAATATAAGCGAGAAGGAATTGCCACTATATTACTCTACTGTAAAAGTTCGTTTGCAGAAGGGTTGCCTTAACAACGAAGCCTAAAACTATTAGGTCAATTTAAGGATTACTAGTGGAATAAACCAGCCATTTATGCAATGACACTGACTCCCAAAAGATTTCAAAAAATAACACCATTCGCATTGGGCATAGATCCACCTACTGTGCTCATGAAATGCTTAAATTGCTTACTTAAAAAGTAACTCAACTCAAAGCACGATGTCCTGAAAGAAGAGTGAATTAACTCTGGAAAGAATGGATTAACAACGAAAAACAAGCGTACAATCATGGCAGCAGCCGCAACGCCAAGCATTGAGCCGACGATTACATCAGTTGGACGATGCCAATTATCCTGAATCCGCGTTAAGCAGATGTAATAGGCGATGATGGCAACAGAGATCTGGAAGAAGGCCTTAAGCATTGGTATGGGGCATTTTGGGAAGCGAATTTGCAGGTAAAACTAAAAAGGGGAAATAGGTAGAACTAGCAGGACGATAACAGCAAACTCGGTACAAAAAAATGGACCTTACTGCTGTCATGGCCGCACCCCAAGCAGAGGCAGATGAATGACCGGAAGGAAAAGACATTCTGCAAAGGAAGTAATAAGATAGATGATCTAGGAAGCAATCGACTAAAATACCTGGCTTCCTCAATCAGCCGAGCATTATCGGCGGAGCAAATGATTACGGGCTGGTAGGCCTCGCCAATATTATTACTTGGTTTACAAGCCTCGAGGAAAAACGGCCTTAAACTGCCGATAGACTCCTTTCCAACTTGAACGATCAGCAAAACGGCGGCGAACGAGAAGGCCACCAACCCAAGTAGTTTATAGAGTTGGATGATAACCTTTTGGTGTCAATGTGAGGAAAATCAGAGCTTACAACTGGTATATTGGTGTCTGAGTCTCGAGGAAATCGGTCATGGTAAGAAATATATATTTCAATTATAAAAATCTGAAAGTAGAGTTAGGTAAGTTCGATGTAACTTACGGCGAGCAGTGGTGCTCCTAGTCCGAAGAATGCGGCCCAAACCATAGAAACTGTGTTGGGTCGCTGAGGATATGCAATAGTGGTGTCATTTGGAAAGAATCCGCTTTGAAACGGTGCAGTAAACTGAAGAACAACAGTAGGTATAGCAACTAGAAAACATGATGAATTTTTCCAGCGAACTCGTACTTAAAATTAACAGTATTATTTCCCCAACAGTATAAAGAGCAAGTTTCCTAATGGTAGACATGATCACAGATAGTAGCAGATGATTGCTAAAGGGACAATCCAACAATTGCTCTGAGGCGCTTTTTGTAGCAGAAAACCACACCAACGAACCCTGAAGACCGCCACCTGAAAACAACTTGTTTTATACTGGCTAACAAAGTTCACCTGAAACTTAACCAATAGTAGAAGAGGATCGCACTAATGAACACCAATGAATGTTGTGGAGATGGGGAGTACCAGAGCGAAGAGTGTGCCAAGAGCATTAGAATCAGTTGGTTCCAGCTGGAATTGTGCACAACCGTATTTCCCTTTCCAAGTACAAATGTGCTGCAAATTGGTTGAGAAAGTGTATTCAGCAGATTTGTTACCCTTAATTACCATGTACTAAAAATGGTGTGAAAAAAATATTGAAGGGGAGGAAATTCGGTGTCAATATACAAATAATTTCTTGGAAATTCAACAGAAAATCAGCCATCAGTTACTATATTTTTTGCGTATATTTGGTCAGAAAAAAAGACTAGAAACCTTCCCACTTGCGCCTTTACCCTTTAATTTGTTTGCCGTTGAAGCTTGTGCAATGAGCTTTAGGGTGGCTTCCAGATCACACAATTCCATCCAAAAATATGTGTTAAAAAAGCGTTTTAAATAGTGCAAAAAATTTTCAACGCAGTCATTTGTTTTATTGTTTTTTGGTATTTTTTGTTTACCTTGACGAAATGCCTCTAGGGCTCAAGTCTGGGCGCCGAATTGGATCGTTCCTTCTTCTCAAAAGTAGCAAATGGCGATAACATATTCAAGTGCGGTTGCGACTGCATCATACGGTGCATTTTTTCGCCTTCTTTGTCGGTGGAAAGGAAGCATTTATAAACTGATATGGGTTGATTTGCTTGTCTTCTCCATATTGTACTCCACCATCGCTTTGGTTTACCACCTATCCCCAATATCCTCACCAGGCTTGCTTGAAATGCACAAATATATCCGCAGTTTCCTAGATTATGTTAAATCAATGTCAAATTCGTTGCCCATCTCTTTCATTCTGGGTTTTTTTGTCACCCTCGTTGTCAGTCGTTGGATAGATCAATTCAACTACCTACCCACATCAGATGGTATAAGTTTGTTAACCTGCGCATACATACAGATTCCGGCACGCAAAAGTGATCAAAGGAACCTGGCAGTCATAGCCGATGAAGTGGCAGTCATTCGTGAGAGCATTGCAAGATACGTGAATTTGGCAGCCGTCTTATGCTTCCAAACCATTGCACCAAATGTGAGGAAAGTGTATGAAAATACGCAGAACTATATTACTAGTGGCCTTATGACTGAAAAAGAGCACGAATTCTTCGCACAAGTTGATCCACGATACCATCCTTTTTATGTGCCTCTCATGTGGGCAATCACTATTGTTAAACGTGCCAAAGTCCATGGCTACATTGCCCATGAAAGACATATGAATGCACTTATTGACGAGATTTTGAAATTCCGTCGTTCATTATTTACTCTTCTTAATTACAACAGTGTGCCCATACCTCTTGTCTATACTCAGGTGCGTTAGTTTTGTGTTGTGTGATGCTTCACCAGATGAGTTTTTATTGCGCTCCATTAGCGTTAACACTACGTACTTCAGTCAGGAAACTTTTATTGCGTTGACATTAACGTACTATCTCTGCATACGAAATTGGTCCATATTTTTCATGAATTCCTCAATTAGTTGTCATATAGTTCGCCTTGTCCATACCATGTAAATTGAGATGAAATTCTTTATTTCCGCCTATGGAAATCCGCTGATTGTCCTGGTTTTAAAATTAACGCAAATAAATTAAAAGTCTAGCCGCAAATTCTGAATGTCCGCAGTAGAGTTTGTCGTAAGTTTCCTTTCTTCCTCCTGTTAAGCGGAATTTTTGACAGTATTCCCAGTAGAAGCGCTATCATGGAGATGGGGTTGTCGTTTTCAAAAGAGATACTTCATTTATCGCTCTGATAGCAGTGAAATTCCTAGTGTGTTTTCCCAGTTTAAAGGTGTTGACGTGAGTAGTAATGCCTTGAATGTTAAATTCGTATCCTACAATGACATCTTGCAAGTATAGAACTGATGACACATACTTTCCTCCCAAGGTGGTGAATATCGGTGTCTACGCGATCTTTGTAATCGCTCTCGTGGGCAGTCAATTCCCTCGCCAACTACCCGAAGTACCGCAATTTTCACTGAACTCCACTCATGTCCTCCCTAACCCATCCTCGGAACTGCCAAAGCCCATCCTCTATGTGCCTATCTTTTCCCTCCTCGAGATCACCTTTTACCTAGGTTGGCTCAAGGTCGCCCAGTCCCTCCTCAACCCATTTGGCGATGACGATGAGGACTTTGACCTACTTCCCTTGATGGAGCGCAATTTGGCCATCAGTCTGTGGATGGTGGACCTACGTCACGGCATGCCAGCACAGTCACCGCATGCAAAACCGCAGGATAACAGCCGTCTGCAAAGTCTCTCATTCACTAAACCAACAGATAGCCTTTTCTTCCGTCAAGTCGGCCCTTTTGCCTCGGATGCCGATCCGTTAAGTGAGTTGCTTGCCTCAGCTGCACAGCTAGACGTGCCGGGAACACTAACCCCTGCAGTGCAGGCGGATAACCCCGAGGGAGGTCCTAATCAGGGCTCTGCTGCTATTGCATTTGAACGTAAAGAAAGTCGACGAATGAGCTTCAGCTTGGATGAGCCACTGAGGAGGACATCTTCAAGCATGGCGGTAGGAGATTTTAGTTTATGCTCAGTAGTTTAGGATATATTTGCCAGGATTTGAGTCAATTACTTTATAGACTATTGCTGGTTAAAGTGTTAATAATTTGCGATATTATTATCAGAGTTCGTTTTGTTCTGTGCTTTTGAAAATTCTTGATGTAGAGCAGAAGTTAGGCGTGGACGAAAGCATCATGATTTCTGAAATGATGGCACGAAGTGCAGTCGTCGTAAATGAACACGGCCTGATATTTATTAGTAGCTTTTTAGCTGTTCTGCCAAACGGAACCATAATTCGTGAAGGTTAGAGAGTTGGTGCAGTTAAGCATGTAATTAAAAGGCATTCTATTGTTGCATAACTCCCTTCCTCTTTGGAGCGTCATGCTTGGCGCTCCCTTTGGTCTTCTTTCTACCTCGATCACCGAAATGTAGTTGCTATTTGAAAAGCTACAGCGATCCAGGAATGGTGGCCAATAAATTTCTATGGAGGAGAGAAGATGTGTCTTCTCGCAATAGGTAGTTTACTTAATCGACTCCACTTTATGT